ATTATTATTATTATTATTATTATTATTATTATTATTATTATTAAAAGGAAAAATACAAGTACAATTGTACACCACACTAGATGTTGCAGTAACCATGGGAAATACTGAATCTGGCAGGCTGCATTCATTTCTGAGCAATTTTGTCATAGTTATGTTTTAAAAATGGAAAAGTACCAAGTATTCTGGCTTGAGAATGCCTGACTGTGTGTATGTGCGTGTTTAGATTACCACCAGTCTGGGGTCAATTTTGTAGGTCCTGACAAACACATGTTGGGAAACCCTGCAATGTAAATGACTGTTACCCAAAAGATGTTTTCATTTAAATCTGTAAAAGTGATTAAACTTTTATAGGGTCTGCTGCCCCCCCCTCCCCCCGTTTCAAGTTAATTTGAGTGCAGAGGTGGAATAGGAAATAAAACCGGGACCTGAGTCCCCAGAAAGACAGGGGTACAAACGTGTCTGTACCAGATAGGGGGGGCTGTCCATCCGGCGGAACCTCTTGAAGTGGATCTTGATTGTCTCCTGGATGGTATCGAAGGCCTCTGTGTTGTTCAGCCACTTCCTCTTCACCAGCTTGTCGAAGTAGGGCTGGAAGAACAAGAGCAGCACAGGCGCTTAGTCCCGCTCGGCCCCTCGGCCCCTCGGCTCCTCGGCCCCCTGCGTGCAGCTCCATGGAAGACCTCGTGCCTGGGCCGCTGGGCCTCAGAGCTCCCTGGGTATGTGTGGAAACTGGAAGAAAAACCTTTGCTGACCAGTTTAAGGCCAGTTTGAATCCCAAAGAGTAGCGCTGCGCTGCTTGGCGATACCAACTGGGGGAAAAAGGGAACATTTTCCTCCTAAACTCAAAACCAGGACGTTTTCCAGAACCAGGTTTGTCTGTCGCTGATTATCTTGTACTGGGTTATACAGCACTGTGGTTTAGGTGGGATTGTCCTTCTAATGAAATCTTAACGGTGTTTCCTGTAGGTTGAGGCTGGAACATTACACTGGGTGTGCAAATGCAGGGGATGACTTTCAGAATGAACTTGAATAATCGCACTGCAGAAAACATCTGGACACAATGCTCTAACATTATCTTTGACAAATCACTCCTTGGCATTCCTTCTGCTGGAACACCTATAATCCCCTTCCTTCCTGAAATTTACTATAAGATGAAGAAAGTTCATATTTCCCCTACTGGGATTTTTAACACCACATCACAGCTTCTGTGGAAGCCTAGAAAAATTCCGGTCCAGTGTAGAAAAGTACACAAGAAACTATACATTGAGCTACGGCTCCAGTACCTTTAGAGAAATGTATCACATTTTATGATCACTTAGCTTCCAGTGCAAAATATCTATGATTGACCGCAGAACTTTATAAAGACTTTGAGCTGAAGCAATCCACCTTAAATATAGGAACAAGAGAAAAGCTTTGAACTCCAAGACCAGGAAGCGCTTTCCGAGAAGAAATGCAGGAGCACGGAACAAGCTTCCCACCAGTCTGCCATCACAGACTGACCGGATGACTTTGCCCCCAAGAGGGTCTTACCTTGATGTGGTCAAACAGCCTGTCCGTCAGCACCCTCACTCCCTGATTTACGATCTTGTCCAGAGAGGCGTTGGCCCGCCTCGTCGCCTCCTCGCACTCCGCCGGCTCGCACTGGGTGCAACGGCGCACGAAGGCCCTGCCGTCAAACCGCAAGAGGCAGGGTGAGCTCCGGGAATAAGGAGGCTCGAAGAGTACTGATAAGAATTAATGATACTAGCAGGTATTTCACGTTGTGTTCAGGAAGGGGAATGTGAAAACCTTCTGAAGGGCTCTACTGTATATCACTGCATTCAGGGGATTACTGAAACACAGGGGGAGCAGATTCCAAAGGGTCTTTGGAAACTCAGCTGGGCGCAGGGAGGTAGACACCTACTTAGGGAGGGGGGGATCGTGAGCTCCAATGGGCTGAATGGCTTGTTTTTGGCACAGTTTTCCTGCGTTCCTTAGATCAGACCCCCCCAGACACAACTGACCGAGCCGCGCTCCTGCGCGCGACTCCGCAGGCCGACCCGTCTCTGCTACGGAGGGGAACAAGCTTTTGAAGACGTGGCCACGGAGAGGGAATTTTCACACACCTGAAAGGGGGGCAGCAGTTGACGAGGGCGATGGTCTTCGAGATATAGCCGTCACCCTGCTGGCCAAACTCCATCTGGGTTTCGTGGAAGAACTCGACCTTCCTCTGGAACCTGACACGATGACAAGAGACGTGCACAGTGAGCGTGGCTGAGACACAGCAACACAGCGCCCCAAATACGCAGGCGAATCACTAATGTCTCTCCGAAGAGAACATGCAGTGATAAGGTTATGCTCCGGCCTCTATAAGACCACAGACATCCGGGCTTGGAGTCCAGCAGATACAATGGTCGATTTGTCTTTACCAGGAAGCCACCTGATATTAAAGGTGGGGTTTAAGTAATGCACTTCCCTCCTATGGTTTCATTTTATTCCAATTACTGTTCTATTGTACTTGTCCTCTGTGAGCCTGGTTCTATTTTTATTGCCTTATACTTGCTCCGACGCTTGCCATTCCAGATCGCTGGAGGCGAACGCCAGGAAGTCGTGTGGGAGGAGGGCTGGGGTCGTGAGAGACACATGGCGAGCCTTGCGCAAGGCTTGTCCACTCGGGCTTCGGGGCATCAGGGGAAATCTCCTCTCCCGTCCAAGTTACCCTTCGAGCTGCTCTGAGAGGCAGCCGTGCCAAGGTCGTGGCGGAGTGGGCAGAGTGCGCGTGACATTTTTACAGTTAAAAATTAACTTTGAGAGAAAGAGCCTTTCAGAAAGTTAAACATGCTTTGAAGTCAGAAACAAAAATTTCATTGAAACACCTACCTGTATAGCTAGGAGAATCATACTCAAAGTACCAGTAGTACCGATAACATTATCTTTACTATTAATTGACTAGATAACACTTCAGTCTATTATGTCTATTTTCAATGTCATTCTATGGATTTACTGTAGCATGAAATGACCTTTAACATTGTCTGTGGGCTATTCCTGACCTCCCCCTTTTCCCCATGAGCAAGTGCTCACTGTGAAATGTTCCCATTAAGTGTTTTTTTTCCACACGGGTGATTTTCGGTACTGTTCAATGTAGTGGAAGAGTGTACCAGAGATTTGCGATGCACTTATGCGAGTTCCCATCTTCCTCACCTGGACAGGAACTCTGCTAGCCCAGTGAGACAGCACTGTGCCACACGAGAGCCCAGGTCTCTGGTGATGGTGGCCGATTTGTCCAGGTCTACTTGCAGCCTCTGCATGAAGACAGAGTATCATCAGACACTTGAGCTGATAAGCACGTTCCTTTCTTTTTTTATCACATCACTCAATATGGCACCTTAGTTTTTTACTTTAAGTTGTCTATCATTCATCCCTTCAGCCCCCTCTGGGATCCTAGCTTTTACACAGCATTCAGCACTCTTAGGGAAGTCTGCTCTGTCTTTTAGTTGCTCTCCATTCAGTGTTTCACTCAAAGTCACTATGTCTTAATCACTCACCTTACTTCACTAATCCAATCAGGCACTGGAGTATTCAGCCTGATTCACTGTTACCCAATCATGATGCTCACTTCACTAATCACTTTCCACACAGATCTTTGTTCTTATTATTTCAACTCTTCGCCATGTCTTCAAGCTCACCATCTTCCTGAACAAAACTGGCTCCCCTCCCCACTAACTGTACCAGCTGATCCTGTTTGGCCAGGGATGCCTCTCTGAAACCTGAACTTGCAGCTCTAACAGCTGCAGCCGGCTTGTGTGCCGATGGTACAGCCGGGCAGGACACCTGTGCCATCTAAACATCTCTGGGCTACAAGGAGAAAACACGCCGCTCCCTGTCCAAGCGATGCCCCAATCCTCCAGGTGCTGCTGTCTCCAGTCAGCCCTGAGTTAGCTGGCCAGACCTGCTCCTCACCAGCAGACTTCAACCCCATTCAGCCATGCAAACAAGCTGCTACATTAGGAACATAAGATGCCAGTCTTCCATCACCTTCATACCGGGTGGACAGACCCTACACTGCTTCCCTCACCCTTATTAGTTTACTGGGTAGCTAATACCTTTCCTAATGCAGCCCATTTGCCCAGCACCTGTGTTGCCTCTCAGTACTTCTCAGGGGTACCTGAAACACCCTTGTCTGTTCTTATTGACCTCTCAATAAGCCCAGAGGATTGACATCCAGAGCCTACTCTACCACGAGCTCCAACCCTTGTGGAATTCCACTCCTTCTAAATGCTAGTTCTTCACTCAGCCCAGGAGTGCCTCCCACAAAGCCACCTCTCGCATCTTCACATACCTAGTCTGCGCAGAGCAACCACACACAACAAACACACCTTCATTACCATGGAATAATACTGGAACAACCCAAGAAAAATGACAGTGAAAATTTAAATATTAGAAAAGGGCTAAGATGGAACATTTAACTTTAAACTCCTTTAAACCTTTATTTTAAAAATACTTGTAGAGTTTTGCACTTTTCATCATGCAGTAATTAAAAGACATACTCCGTTCAATGAGGCTCAGTGAATGCAGACCTGCTCTGGGAATGATTTAAAGGACAAGATGGCTGTAAGCTTGTGTTTATACCAGAAACAGCCAGTAGGGTTCACTGCTGTACCAGCACAGCCAGATCCCAAACCAGTGTGAATCTGGGGTTACGGTATCGGCGCAAGAAAAAGAACAGCACGACTTAAACAAATTTTAGCTTTAGAACAAATTTGACTCACTTTCTCTTCCTCCCAATAATGCCCAGCCAAAATTGCAAAGCTGTGTTTAACTATATGTATACTTCACTGTTCAGCACCCTTGCTTGACCACTATGTTCTGAACATTTCAAGTCGATGATTAGGAGAAACATAAACTGATTTCTTTGGCTTTAAATAAAAAAGTTCAATAAACAAAACACTGAGCTACAATTATAAGCTTAGCCCAAGTAGACATCTAACTGTTTTTCAGATTTTGAAGATCTGCGAACTTTATAAGATACAGAATCTAAGACATGAGAGGAGTTTCTATTCGTAAAACTGTTTGGTTATTTTAGAAGAGATTCAACAGAGCAATGTTGGTTGCTACCATGGGAGCACAGTTCAGCATTAATAAATATACCATAATCAGCAGAGCCACATGCAGAATTATGGTTTTATTACCACAGTTAGTACGGCTGTGAGCACCGTGTGGCATCTGCTCTGCCAGCCGAGATTAGGAGAAGGCAGGTGCCACTCCAGTCCCCTCCCCCCTTCACAAACCCAAGCCCTGCTTCTCAGCTGACGAGCAGTTTTCCCCCGGGGAAGGTCGTGTCAGCACACCCTGTGCAGAAGCTCAAGCTGGACGGCAAAGATTAAAAATGAGAACTCAAAGCCCAGGATCAGCGAACTGTGACGTACTTCCATGATACTGGCTCCTGGAAAGCCGCGTGACTAAGTGAATAATTGATCCAATGAGGTCATCAAGAGACTAGCTGTTTGCAGTCCCTAAGATGTCAGACTGTTGCCACCTGCTGTGTGTGTGAGTAAGAGAGGAGATCCATATTTATCTTTACATGGTCGCTCAGGGAGAAGAAAGAACTTCCAGGAGCGTTTGAAAAAACAACTGTGTGTTGGCCTGGGGCTGAGTCCAGCGTCAGAGGTTCAGGGTGATGAAAAGGAGTGCGAATGTGCTGCCTGACCTTGATGACGGTGCTGGCGAGAGTGGACTGATACTCCTCTATGTGTCGGGACCCTGTCCATCGCCTCTCCTCCTCCTCCAGTACCTGCAACAGTTCTGTCGTCACCTTGTCCTGGAACACAGGAAAGTAGAAATGTCTTGAGAGCTAAGTAAGCATTTTCATCACGCATGCATTCTCTGGATACCCATCTCACCACTGAGATTATTGTTCCAGAGCCTTTAGGCCCTCAGTAGTTCTGATTTGTGTGTGTAGCTGAGAGGGTGTTGAACAAAGAACAAAGATAAGGACAAATTGTAGAAGGGAATTCAAGGGAGTAGAGGGACATGGTCAATTGAATGTGGGAAATAGCTGGAGGGAAGAGTCTCGAAGCATTACAGTGTATTTGGTATTTTGTATATGTGGATATTTGCAAAGGCTGAAAGTCTTACCCTGACAGAACTGATACAGTCCTGCTCCAGTTTCTCCACAATCTCCAGTGGGAGCACTGGACCCAGACTGGTGCGGTCGATGGCACGAGTCAGGCTAATGTTGGCCAATACCTCCCTGAAAGACACAACATGCTGCTGATGAAATTCCACATTGTATCCTCCTAATGTGGGATGTGTGTCCCTGATTTCCTCTGTCTGCCTTTGTGATTTCTGCAGCCTGCCTAAAACTCTGAAGAAGACATTTGAGTAAAAAATGCAGCTTGCAGAGCTCATCATCCCTTGCAATTATTCATCAATCTGTTATCAGAAACCGGTTTATTCCTTGGATGGGTTGTGACCACCTGAAGTCTGTACTAGAATGGGCACAAAGCAGGCCTACACCCTGGATGGGACACTGGTGCCTCACAGTGTGAACACACACACTCTTACAGGGCCTATCCTGAGCCACCAATTAACCTAGCAACAGGAACACACCCGCATATACACAAGAGAACATATAAACTCCACACAGATCGTCTCTCAGCGTGGAGCCCAGGACCCAAAAGGTCTGAAGCAGCAGCATTAACCACCATTCCAGCCAGTCTGGGTCAGTTCTAAACTCATTTGCTCATTTTAGACCCATTTGGAGTCAGAGCCTTGATGTGATCGTTGAGGAGTCTGTGCCTGTTACAGTATTTTATTGGAAACACAGAAAGACATCAGGACAGGCTCTGCAGTCCACTGGAGCTCGTTCTCTGTCTGACACTGGCAGCCACTGGCCTTGCTCGAAGATTTTATCACAGTGCTGACATCTGCAAGTCGTTATGCATCCGTTATCTGTCTCCCTTGTGATTTTCTGTTTGTTGTTTCTGCTTTGACTGATATTTGAAACTCGACTTTCCAGCCAGAAAGAGCTTCTAGTGAGAATCTCCTTGAAGGCGATCACAGTGGAGTCTGCTGGGGAGCTCCACAAGGCTCTGAAACTCATCGCTCCGACGTGGAGCGTGGAAGCTAAGTACAGATGCACTAAACACACAGCAGAGAAGGAGAGGTGCTAGGAGCCCTGAAAAACTGAAACATCGGAGCAGGAAAACCGAAAGAAGCTGGGTGACTTTTAAAGCCTCTCAACTTTTGTGTCAGGTGTGGCCCAACTTTCCTCCTTGAAAACTTCAAACACGCTCCACTTCATTTTCAAAAACTTGATTTGAATGCAATATGAACACATGAACAAATTGTTCTGCTTTGCACACCTGTCTTAAGGTCTGCCCAGACTCTAATCTGTGGCTTTGTATCCCAGACCAACGCCCTGTGCCGGCCCACCGACCTGTTGTATGTGTTGTGAATCCAGTCCAGCAGGGCGTAGTTGTCCGAGATGGTGAGGGGGTATCTGGTGAGGTTCTGCAGGCGCTGGCCGATGGCCTGGTGGTAGCTCTGCACGTAGACGTTAAAGGCGTTGTAGTCGTCAGGGTAGATGGACACCACGTTCCTGCTGGCCGCGCCCAGATCCTCCACCACGCGGGTCCTCAGCTGCCCCAGGAAGCCGGCCAGCTGCCCACTCTGGGCCTCCTCGTGCTGGGGGAGGCTGCCGTTCGCTGCCCCCGCCACCGCCTCCTTCCACTTGCGCTTGAGCTGCCGCGGCCGGGGGCCCTGCTGCCCCCCCTCCTTCTGCACCCAGTCCTGATCCGCCGCCTCCTCCTGCTCCACGACCTGCACCACCAGCCGCAGGGTGGAGCCGGGGTTGGGGCAGCGCAGGGACTCGCGCACCACGTCCCACAGCTCCTTCTGCAGCGCCTCGTACAGCAGCTCCACGTCCTTGGCCTTGCGCCGGCCCCCGTCCTTGGTGGGGCTCGTGGCCTCGTCGGCGCCGCCCGCCGTGGGGGTGCCCGGTCCCCCCAGCGCGGCCTCCTCGCACTCCCGCTCCAGTTCCAGGATGTGGGTGTCGGCCAGGAACAGGTCCCTCTTCGTCACCAGCTGCAGGATCTCCAGCACTGCCGGGGAGAGAAGAGAGAGCTGCAGACCAGCACTTCACATCCCCCAGCCTTTCACCATCAGAGCTGCTCGCAGGCACGAGGTCAATAAGGAATCGGGATTGAATTGTTTAACTCAGGCTCCACTGAGGATCGGGGAATGAATTTAGATAACAGATAAACACTTTCCTGATTATTTTCTGTAAGGCAGCTGCTCTTTGAACAAACAGCCCTCTCCCCCCTTATGACATCTTGCAGTTTCCCATGATGGTACTGTGCTTATACCAGGCATCAGAGTTTGTGTTGTGCTTTATCACATACCTCTAAAGTTTTGACCATGGTATACTGTGGTAGATGTCTTGTAATGACATCTAAAGTACCTTTCTTACCTTTGTACCTGTTTTGTCTTACCATTTTGTTGTCTTTGAATGTTGATTTATGCTGATTTATGACTGTGTGAGGACATTTAAGGATCAAAACCACTCAAATCAATTTGACTGTCCCCTGGGTAATTAATAAAAAAATAAATGCAATTAATCCAGTCAATGTTCGCAGCAGGTTTCAGAACGTAGCTTCCCGCCTGCTATGTGCTCATTGTGGTGTTTTTGCAATGGCAGTAGACCGGTCGTATTTCTATTTGCAAACAGTTAACTTATAACTTATGAAGAAAACTTGAAATGTTTCTCGTATCTCTGATACCCTCTGAATGGACCTCATTTCTCTACTGGTGATATTGGTGCTGCATTTGTTTTTGTAGCTCCATCTACATCTGAGAGAAAGAGTTACTGGTCGATCCTATTTCTCTCCGTGCGAAATCTGATTCTGTTAGGCAATACTCTGGAGGGGTGCAGATTTGAAGTGCCTTTGAAAAGTTTACTTGAAATTCACCTCAGTGGGAAACAAACAGAGCCAAAAGTTCTTAATTCCCACGAACCCAGAACGGGATTCCTAAGCTTGAAAGCCAACAGTGCTTTCATGCACAGCATGCGTTCTCCGGTTCATTCAAGAGGACGTGTGGACCCAGACGTCGATTTCGAGAGAAGAACCATTGCTATTGATCTTGTTTAATCTTTGTCGACTGATAAATGTAGACCATGTCTTCAAAACGCCATTTTTATGAAAACTGTTACTGTGGATTGTACACGTTAACTTTGTAGCTCATGCTTGATTCGTCAGGATTCATGATATTAATAAGGATTTCCCTGGGAACACTGTTTACATAGATGCCTTCATACACAAGTGTACTTGCGTTGGCGAACTTTAAGAACCTTTACAATTGACCCTAATGTGCCAATAAGTGTCATTTTGTAATGACAACTGTTCATTTTTCTCAAAAAGTGAAGGATAGATGACTCTTTGATATCACTCAGAAGCACATATCTGACTCTGATTGACTGGAACAGCTCTAGAAAAAAAAATAACTGTCACAATACAGTATATGGCATCCTTTGCACAGTTCACAATGATCTTTTGTCCTGTTTCTTTCTGAAATTCATAAAGCACGACACAGAAATAATATATAGAAGACAGGACACAAAGGATCTGATGGAGCAGACTGACATACAGGTCAGAGGACCTGTGAGAGCTAAGGAGATGTGTATTCAAAATTGAGAAAAGGAGGCATTTCTTTACACAAGGAGTTGTAGGTGCCTGCAACAATTTACCCAGGTATGTTGTTGAAGACTTCTATCAATCAGCATCAAAGAGCTGCCACGATTGCTACTCCCCCTCTTAAGGGCGCTCCAGCCCTTCCTTGTTCTGCCCCAGTACCTGTGCCTGTTTTAGTTCTCGCCCCACCTTAAAGGCCAGACGCAGGCGTCACCCCGACGCTTTTCATGGAATCCCGTTTCGTGAGAGCCCGGGGTCCGGCTGTGGCTGGCTCCGTTATGGTTTTAGTTTCCTGTTCCTGATTCCCTGCCCCGCCGGTCCCGACCCGGTTCTGGTTTTTACTTCGGATGGATCCCCTGGCCTTGGACTCCACCTCCCGTACTGGATTCCCC